TGTACCAGGCTTTAAGAGTGTGTGTGTGGACAGAGACACTCTCCTCAGCGGTCAGAAGAAGGACAGTGGGATTGATGTTTTGGTGAACGAGAGGTGGTGTAATCCTGGTCATATCACTGTGAAGGAGAGTATCTGTTCACCGGACATTGAACTTTTGTCTTTGGGAATGTGTCCATATTATTTACCAAGGGACTTTACTCGTGTCCTGTTGGAGTTTCCATCCCTCCCTCAGCAGATGAAGATGCTCCTGTGACAGGACACACACTCTGGTCTCTGGGCTGCAGTCCAAACACCCGGAGGCTTTTCTTCTGATTTCTGGTGACTTCAACCATGCCTCCTTGGACAGGGTTTTACCCACACTTCACCAGTATGTGGTTTGTAAAACTCGGGACAATAGAACTCTGGACCTGCTGTGTGCCAGTTCTAAGGAGGCACAGAGTGGCACTGCCCCCAATGGGACGATCAGACCACAGTCTTGTCCTGTTCACACCTCAGTATGTCCCTGCAGTGAAGAGGCAGCCTCCACCACCAGGACTGTAAGGAAGTGGAGTCAGGAAGCCAGCCATGCTCTTCAGGAGCTTTGAGACCACAGACTGGAATGAGCTCTGACAGCCTCATGGAGACAACATCAACAGCATGATGGACTGAACAACAGAGAACATCAACTTCTGTGAGGACACAGTCGTCCCCATACTTACTGTCCACTGTTCCCCCAACAACAACCCTGGATCACCAGTCAGCTGAAGGATCTACTCAATAAGAAGAAACCTTCAACTCAGGAGACAAGGATGAGGTGAAGAGGGAGCAAGGACAGCTGAAGGTCCAGCTCAGAGATGTGATGAAGGGGATGAAGACCATCACGGGCTTCAACACCAGAACAAAGCAGCAGGACAAACTGCCCAAACAGGTCAAAGCTACTCAATCTGCATTTGAATCGTTTTTCTTCTCCTGGTACCTTCGTCTCTGCACTTCCCAGAGGCCCAATCCACACAGACCACTCAGACGCCATTAATCAGCCCAGTCTGAGTCTGAAGGTTGAAAGGATCCTGGTGCTGTGGAAGACCTCCTGCATTGTGCTGGTGCCAAAGAAGCCCATTCCATCTGGACTCAATGACCTCAGAGCAGCTGCTTTGACGTCTCATGTCATGAAAGTGTTTGAGGAACTTGTTCTGGCCCAGTTCACCTGGTGGCACCATCCCTGGATCCTCTACAGTTTGCCTATCAGTGCCATTTAGGCGTGGAGAATGCTGTAATCTGTCTCCTTCACCAGGCTCCTCACACCTGGATGGTGTTCAGGGTCTGTAAAGAGATTGTTTTTGGATTTCTCCAGAGCCTTTAATACAATCCAGCCCTTTCTGTTATGCAAGAAGCTGCTCAGGATGGTGTCAGCTCATCCATTGTCTCCTGGATCACTGACCACCTGTGAGGCAGGCCTCAGCATATGTGACAGGAAGCACCCTGTCTGATACTGTGGTCACTAATGTAAGAGTTCCCCAGGGTACAGTCATGTGTCCATTTCTGTTCACTCTGTTCACCTCTGATTTCAGTACAGCTCCAAGTCCTGCACCTGCAGAAGGTTTGATTATTCTGCAGTGATTGGGTGTATCAAAGATGGATAGGAGCTGGAGGACAGGTGCTGGGACAGGTGCTGGGACAGGTGCTGGGATAGGACACTGATTGCAAACTTTGTGGAGTGGTCCCAGGCAAATCATCTGCTCCTGAACGTTGATAAGACCAAGGACCTGGTGAAGACTTCAGGAGGAACAGGACACGAGTGGAGCCGTCACCATCAGGACCTGATTTATTTTTTTACTGTTATTGTAATATAATGTGATGTGTGAGCTCCTGTGATCAATAAGGTATAAGACCAGGACCAAGAGCAGGACCAAGTCCAGGACCAGGATCATGTCCAGGACCAGGAGTGAGTCTGTATCTGGACGTACCTCCCACAGAGAGCTGGAGTATGTGTGAGTATAGTGTATGTGTGTATAGTGTGTGTGTGTGTGTGTGTGTGTGTGTATAGTGTGTGTGTGTATAGTGTGTGTGTGTGTGTGTGTGTGTGTGTGTGTGTATAGTGTGTGTGTGTGTGTGTGTGTGTGTGTGTGTGTGTGTGTGTGTGTGTGTGTGTATAGTGTGTGTGTGTGTGTGTGTGTGTGTGTGTGTGTGTGTATAGTGTGTGTGTGTGTATAGTGTGTGTGTCTGTGTGTGTGTGTGTGTATAGTGTGTGTCTGTGTGTGTGTGTGTGTGTGTGTATAGTGTGTGTGTATAGTGTGTGTGTCTGTGTGTGTGTGTGTGTGTGTGTATAGTGTGTGTGTCTGTGTGTCTGTGTGTATAGTGTGTGTGTATAGTGTGTGTGTGTGTGTGTGTGTGTGTGTGTATAGTGTCTGTGTGTGTGTGTGTGTGTAGTGTGTGTGTGTGTATATTGTGTGTGTGTGTGTGTGTGTGTATAGTGTGTGTGTGTGTGTGTGTGTATAGTGTGTGTGTGTGTGTGTGTGTGTGT